ATAAATCATAATGGCGTTTGATACACTTTGTGAATAACGAGATAATTATAAAATAGGCAGAACATCAAGAGTGATATTTGAATGATTTTTATTATATGTATTTAAATAATTTATGATTTGCTTTTTGTACATTTCTATTTATTTTTTAAAATTCAAATTTATTTTGCAATTATAAGAGAAATTCTAACGGATTTTCTGCGCAAAAATAAATTCCGACACATTCAGTTTAAGTGGTTTGTTAAATTTATTCTTAGAATATTTGCTATGCGCGTTGGTCTTTTCGCAGTTAGCATGAAAAAATAATCAGGGAAATGTTTCGCATCTGCGTTATTATATAATATAATGTCGCGTTTATAGTGCAACTAAAGCAAAATATAAAGACGAGAAAAAGAAAAAGAATAATAAGAAAACAAAGAAAGAAAGAAGTACAGGAAAAAGCGAAGTAAGTGAGATTCACTTGTAGCATCTCGCTGCTACTTGACGTAAGTAGTAGAAACAGGTCAAGCATCGACATGTGCATTAGAGGTCTTCGGACTTCAATGACATTCGATGGTCTTCGTGCATTTTCAAATACGTTGCAGATTGCACACTATTATAATAAATATCAAAAAAGCAATAGTAATCCAATCCCTTGAGTTAAATAGGTGAAGAGGACTACCATATATTTGGTCAAGGCGGATACTTAATAATATTCTTATATACCTAATAAAATTTTACAATTTTAGGTAAACTGAGAGTCGATTATCTATTGATTTTGAAACACAGTCATAAACTGAAGTTGGAATACATAATATTACAAATTAAATTATGTAACAAGCAATTTAACCCTTTGAGGACCGCACCTTTCTAACATATGAAAGATCATCTTGCTTTTTGAAGGTTTTCGCTGAATTTGATTCTGGTTTCAGAATTTAAACATTTAAATTTCAAACAAATAATCAGATTATTGTGAAACTCGGTTTTATGAGAGTTTTGATATCTCTGAGTTTGAATGTGTAGCCTGAAAATATCGAATTTTAAAAGGATAGTAATCTCTATGAAGGAGGATTTATAGTATCATAGAATTCGTAATCAGAGTTTGAAAGTCAATTTAGAAATCTAGAAAGTACTAACTGTTTATATAGCATTAATGAACTCCAAATACCTATTTGACCGAGACATATGATGATATTAATTCTTGAGTTAAATAATAATTTTGTTATTTTTAACTTTTATGTGTGTCAAAATGTAAATTAATCCATTTTTGTGATTATAGTTTCAAAGTAAGCATTATATCCAAGAAATAATGAATTAAATAGTCAAATTCAATACATTTTCTTAAATTAAATTGTATAACTTCATTGTTTTAATTAAATTAATGATTTAGATATTGGGTAAGAGCAGTGATGAGAAATGATTAAAAATAGCTCAAATTGAGTATAATTTGGCATTATATAAATTTAACAGTGTAACATGATTATCGAAAATCTTTCATTTTTTCCCCATATTAAGAGAATTCTCAGATGCGACTGAATCCCGAAACGAAAAAAAGTTTCATGGTTGCCAATACGCTGTCAATACGAAAATGTTCCCAACGATATGTGACAGTTTTGTATTATCGTAGACGATATTTCTTTGCGCTATGTCAGATATAAGTATTTAGAACGCCGTTCATGATCGTTCGTGTAGAGGAATGTGAGATCCAAGTCTGATAAATACTATCAGATAATCGAAATGATGCCAGCAGGAAGCATCTCATAAACGTATTTTTGTATATGCAAGCCATGTTATAATGATAACTTCGGTGGACTTCGGTCTGATGAAATTATCGATTTGTCATCTTCATAAAACAATATATGTCAGCTATATCTGTGTGCTAGATATTTACACTACTGTACAAAATTGAATAGAAAAAAATTTGCTGCTATAGAAGAATCAACTGCAAGTTCTCATCATAATTCTCATCGTAAAACTATGCGAACTGTGGAGCTCTCTGTAAATATGTATTTTTTTCGTATGCATCGAGTGTCGCGTCAGAACAGTCTGAATATAAAACGTGCGATGAATGATGGAATGTTCTCTGCTGAGAAAACAAGACTTCCACAAATGAAATATTCAAATTAGGCGTATTGGGCGACGTTGTCCTAAAATATCCACCGGAGGAAATGTTACGGTCGAAACTTGAACGGGGTTACGAGGCTAATAAACCTTTTTATTGCGTCATGAAGAAATCCATCTGTTTTATTTCAAAATCGAGTTAAGTCTGAAAATCGAGTTGAAACTGTTTTGATAAAAAAAATATTATTGGAAGAGATATTGGAACAACTAAATGTATTATTCGTTAAAATATCAAATTAATTCGACTATGATTTGGTTATCAAAGTCAACAACTATTGTTTACAAATACTGTAATTTACTTTTGCAATTATCTCTAATGATCTGATGATGCTTAATAGTAAAAATACTTAGTGGTTATTAACCATTTCTATTTTTTATATTAATATTAATTATATTTCTTTACGTAAAAAATAAGATTAAAAAATATTTTGACTTCTACCAATAATTATAAAGTACGCTATATATTATTTTTGTAATTTTTCGCCTAATATAAAAATTTAATAATATAAAAATATTTACATAATTAGAGGTAAAAGTACTAATTTTTATAAAAACGCACAATTTTATATATTTCTATTATAAATTGTGTAATTTTTACACATATTATTTATATATTATACTTTTTTACAGTTTAGAGTAGCTCACTGTTATTATATTGAAGTAAACCTTCCCTATACTATCCTATAGGTTTCGCAATTGTACACGGAGAGAATTTTTTCTTAAAGTTTACCCTGAAAATATGATAATCGTGGGACAACATTGTACTTCGAAGAATTTTAATGTAAATCTCTTTCATTCATTAATAAAACTACAATAAAATATAAAATAAGCTTGATTAATTTTACTAAAGTGCATAGTAAAAATCTTTAAAATATTATATTGTACCATAACTCTCTACCATATTTTCAGGGTAAATTTTAAAAGAAAATTCTCTTCGTATAGAAAATGAGAGATATATTGGATGGAATTCCAGTATAATGCTAATTTTCAATATATAGTTATTTACGTGCTTTGCTTACACTTCAATTTAGTTGACAGTTGCATTAAAAAATTCTCTAATCTCTTACCCGAAATTTTGAACAAAAATATTTGGAAAATCTGGGAATTCTTGGACTTTTTTAATGATATTCATATCTTATAATATACATATATTTTTTATAAAATTTTATAAACATGTTTGCAGAATAACGTAAATATCGTGTTCGATTTGTTCGCGGTTTGTTTTTGGTTCGATTCTAACATCGGGTTCAAGATTTGCCGCGTGCAATACTCGTGCTGATAATATCATCCGTCGTGCATGACAGTGACAGGCGTCACTATCGATTATGCACGATGCGCAAAAGCCGCTCACGATTGTCGATCCGCCACCGCGTATTCCATTTGTACTCGCTCTTGACAGCCGAAGTTCACACGTACTCTCACCTCACGTACGTAAGGAACCTGATTTCACGTGACGACAGCGCATCAATTCTCGCCGGTCATAACACGCGAGCGCGATGGCAGATTTCGATACTTGTAAAATGGTTTCCTTCACGCTACAGGGGCCCGTGGACTTTCCTACGACGTTTTCAGATATAAGTCATTTATCTCGAACAGGAGCTCAGTCCGGATATAAATTCGCCAAATAAGATCAATGTATCGCGTTAATTTATATTCGCATTTCGTTCAGTTTCTTTGATGATGTTTCTTTATAAATCTTCGAATTGTTGCACAAAATTGCCAAACATCCTGCAGATTGTACGGAGATTGATATTTAATCGCGCAGTTACGAGAACGTGCGATCCTATTAAGGTGTATACTGTACAGTCGCGGTCAATAATTCCTATTCGCTTGGACTTGCCGCGTTTTAGGCAGATATAGCTCACTTCAAGCTTCACGTATCGTATCTATAGATATTATAACTCGCAAATTCGAGCAATGTAATTGTACTCAACAATCACGATGTATGTACAAATATTTACTATTAGGTACGACGCGTTTGCCTGAAACGCAGCTAACTTCCAGCGAAAAGGTATTATTGACCGCGAGTGTACAATCAGCGAGCATGTATGCTGTGTTGCATGTCGTACACACGGATAAACATGTGGCGCGTCAGATATTATAGACATGAGTCGGTTAGTCCGTAACGGCCGATGGATCATGAACGCTGAAACGGAGTAGACGTCTATAAATATCGCTCGTGGAACCGAGAAGAGAAACACCGATGAGAAACACCGAGATTGACAATAGAAAGGGAGAGAGAGAGAGAGAGAAATTAAAAGAGAGAGAGAGAGGGGGGGGATGAGGCGAGAGATTCAGGATAACCCGAGAAAGTTTTCCAATTTGAAGCAATTAGTTTGCAGTACGGCGTTGGATGGCATGCATCCAGATAATCGAATATAGGTCAGCGTCTAAAGCGGGATGGGGTCGAGTTACGATCAGGAGGCTGCGAGAAAGATAGAGAAAGAGAGAGGTGGGGAGGGGGAGGAGAGGAGACGGAACGTGAGTTTCCCGAGTGTGTGCACGTGCAACGGGATGGATCCGTCGCACTTCTGGTATGTCCGACGCGCATAAAACCACGTGGCACAATTCGAGAGACGCCCGCCTTAGAATTCTGCCGCGCGGTAATCGATTGACCGATCGTCCCCGATCTACAACTGCAATTGATCGATGCACCGGCCGGCGTCTTCGGACGCCAGTGATAGAGCTCTAAAGTTTTCCGTCGTATGTAGGTTTGCGGAACCTCGGGCGAGATGTACGAGAAAGAAAATTGCGGCTATCGCAATCCAAAACGTGCAACGTACGCGCGTTACTTCAGTACCGTATATGCAGTTTAGAACAAGTTACAGGAGTTTAGAAAGTAGTTATTAATATTTCAGAAACAAGACTTTTACTGATATATTTTTTTATGTCTCTGTTTACAGAATCCGAAGCCAGCTGGGAGGAATGGTGGACCTACGATGGTATTTCTGGTGAGAATAGATTTCTTTTTTCGAATATTGTTATTAACAGTCTCTCCGGAGATGACGGTGTGTCTATTGATCCATTCAATTACCTGTAAATTTTTCTTTATCAAAAATGTCAAACAATTCAATTTTTGTTACGTTACATTTGCAAATTTCCATTATTCTTATTAAGATTAGTATATATACACTCAGTATACATTTAATATATATTTAATATATACTTAATATATACTTATTACATACCTGTTAGTATTCTTTTTTATACCATTTTGGTTCCTTGAAATTAATTAATGCCTAATTAATAAAAATTAAATGAATCTTATAAACCTAGCGTCAGATTTGGAGGATCAAAGAAGATAGAAGTTTCGCAAATGTCACAGATACTCGTTAAACTGATCTATTTAACTCAGAGTAATGATATATATAAGCGTATAATGAGAATTGTTAATTACTATTTTTATTATGTAACATAATGATCATTTATTGTCGAGAAACATTTACTGAGCCTACGACATTTTTCCACTTTGCTACCGCTTTTATGTGTCGAGTATAATTTCCGTTCTTCATTCTTTTTTATATTTCCGACTGTCGTACGGTATGATAGACAAAATGGAAAACTTAACCGACCCGTTCCAAGTTTATGTCACGCAAAATTCTCACAACTTTATTATCAAATGCTAAGGTTTATGCGATGTTAATAGTAAAATGAATGTCTTGAGGACGTCGTGCAAAGTAATTGACACATAATCGAAATTAGTTTTATAATGTTTTACGATAGTTATATAATTTATCATATTGAGATCATATTTTCTTGTTATAATAACGTGAGACCAACTTATCGTCAAAATCCAGCTTCCAAAAATGTTTGAATGAAGTTTTGCAACGTATCGGTGCATCATTCGCTAAATGATTACTATTAAATTCCTGAGAACAGCATGTAAGCGTTTCGCGAGCTTAGTCGGTCGTGCGGCTTCCTAATTTTCTTAATTTTAAGTTACGAGGCCATCGAGTGCCTCCGGGCGCCGGTGAATTTTTTAATCTCGCACCATCCTCTTCCCCTTCGTAGTTTTTATTAAAAATAAGGCGAGCGCGCCGATAAGACTGCACCATGTCGGTCCTGGGTCTTGAGTTTAGTGTTGTTCCGCCATGCGAGCCAGCTGCCACACGAAAAACAGTGCCGTATACTCGGGCGTTCGCATAAAACGCCAAAAATTTCGGCTACTCCCCAGTCGTCCGCTGGCCCTTTCCTCCCGCATTTCCTTCGATCGTGCAAACCCTGCGAATATTTCTTCAGCCTGTTGACGTTGGGGAGGAAGTTGTTGATCTCATTTCGAAATTTACGAGCGTCACAGAATTTCGCCATCGATTAGCTCGAGTGCTGCAACGAAATTAAGCTTGCTTCGCGAAGTGCCAGTAACATCGTTATTGCAAGCGATATTCTTGCGAATGCGGAACTTGTCGCGTCATTTTTCTCTGCTAATTCAGACTTTGATCTCTGTGTAATGCGGATTTCAAAAGAATGCTTAAGGAAAATGCGATAATCCAACTTCAATAGAATGAAAGGGTGTATTATCTTCTGTTATTATAATATTGTCGACTAAGTATCTTTTGTTATTGTCGACAAAATATCATTCGTTAATTTATTATTATAGAAATTTAGCTTACATTTTATCTTAGTATTTTTACAATTTAATTTCTTTAGAAAGAGTTGTCGGGTAAAAAATTTTTAGTATTATATATACACATAGGTATATATATATCTTTTAAGATTAAGTATTAATATAAATTAATACCTAATCCGTATAACAAATCAAACTAATAAAGACTCCTTATAAATCAAAAGAACTAGGAAAGAACATGGGCAATAGGAGTCAAACGCGGAAGACGTTGCGCAAATAATACGACTATAAAGCGTAAAACTTCTTTATTTTTAATAAACGCGCTTACATGTTTCGGCTCATTTTTGAGCCTTCTTCAGAGACAACATACACTCACATATATAAAATGTGACAAAAATTAACTTGTCATGATGAGCTCCCCGCATCGAGAATATAATTGCCAAAATTAAACTCGAATAAAAATAAAAGAAAGAAAAAAGAAAAAAGAAGAAAAGAAATTTTGAAAATATCAAAATAGAAAAAATGGAAAACTAATGTATCAGAAAAACTTTAAAATTAAAATTAATTATCCCAAAAATTAGGAAGCTCATCCTGATCACAAGGCACCATATCGCAAATATTACTATTAATAATTCAAAAACCGGTTTCTGATATGTTGGTAAGTCAGTGTCAGACACAGTGAGTCCCTATTTTAGATTTAGTTAGTCTTTATTGAGGTAGCAATGAGAAAACTAACGTTAAAAAGTTAATCAAATCCAAGAAAGGAAATTTGGAAAATAATCTAAAATCACGCCAGAAAGACTTCTTCCTGTGTGCGAGCGACACTGACTGACAGTGTCGCTCGCATGTTAGATACATTTGCTGTGTCATTGAAATCGGTTAGGTAACTTATTACCATAACAGAAATCGATTTTTAGGATTCACTGTCTCATATCGTGGTCAGATGAGAGTTATTGTTTTATAACCAATAAGCGCACACCCTCGGTCGCGCATTTTGAACATTATGTACTCCGCTTTTTCCATTTATATACAGGATTCCCTCCTAGTTGCACCGTTCCCTTTCATGTATGAAATCTTTGATAAATTTGGAGACGAGCTTTTTTCAGTGAAAATCTGATTACTCGCTGCTTTTTTTATTAAATTTTTTTGATGTTTGACATTACTACAACATACTCCTAGATAACTTTTAGCTGAAAATACTGTCAAAGTACCCTTGAATTTAGTTCCGAAATAAGATTTCGTTTCTACTTCCAGCATCTCGGAAATTTAATTTTACTTGAAGCGCATTACCACATAATTCAAAATTTTGTTAATGAAAAATTAAGCAGATTGAAGACAAGGTGAAATTATTAACGTAATTTTCCTAATAGCTTTAACAGATATGTTTCTTTAATGTTATGTAATATATGTTTTATGTGAGTATGAACGTGGAAGGCTGCCAATTTCACAAAGTCTGCAACGTGCATGAACAATTGCATTTCCTCGTGTATTTATGCGACAGCGGAATAATCTGGTTACATTACAACGCAGATTGCAAGTTGAGCACTTATGCTTTTTTCGACCTCAAAATGTACCGTCGCGGCAACTGCGTTTACGGAACGGCTCTGATTTTATGAGCGACGTGCTGCAGTACATGATATATCTTTGATTTCGCCTCGAGGGTATTCGAGCAAACTGCTAGCTGAACTTTGCTATACCGTTGTTATATTATAAATGTGAGACGAAGGAAAAAAGAAGTTTTAAGATATATTGCTTCGATTATTCGCGAACATGTCGCGTGTTTCAGATTTACCGGCGCTCTTCTCAACAGGATACCGGGAAAAAAAAACAACGTAAGGGTAACTAATTTAATAGAACTCGGCAGCGTCTTCCACAAAATTAAATCGTTAACGTTTAAAATACACTAGTTTACAAAATTTTCTGCAAGAGTATATGAAGACTGTTTTTAGGGTAATTTTCGACGCTGAACTCAATCTGTCGAAAATTGAAATATTTTCATCAGGTCCTTGAGATATAAGAAAAAATTTTTAAGCATAATATGAAGTTTTATCGAAATTAGAAAACAAGTCAAAAGTGTTGAGCGTTTAATTTTTATTTTTTATATGACTTTGGATCGGTTTTACATGTTAGAGGCCAGCATTTTTTAATCACCTACACTTTTCAGAATGTATGTTAAATTTAACACATTTCACATCCCAAACGGTTCACTCAAATTTTTGTGTCAGTTTAACACAAGTTGAATATGTTAGGAAGTAACACAAATATTGTATATGTAAAAATTATTCAAAATTAGTTTGTAAACTAGTTGTATTAAAAATTTTGCCGACATTTATATTTCTGCAGTGAGTTGTACACCGAAAAAAAATTTACTATATCTTAATAAATATTTCTGTAAATATTTGTAAGTAAACATTTACTGAATATTACACTGAAAAAAAATACATGTAATTTTACATGAAAATTACATGTTTATGACTGGAAAATTACTAAATATTATATGATTAAAAATTTACTGGAAATTGTAAATTTCCAATCATATTTATGTAATTTTCCAGTCATGAATATGTAATTTCTATGCAAAATTATATGCATTTTTTTCAATGTATAGGTATATTTATTTGATACATAAGATCATTAATTTGATTTCACTACCATTTTTTTCATCGAGTAAATATTTATTTACTATAAATTTACTTTTAAATATTTAAAAAAATATTTATTAAGATATAATGAATTCTTTTTTAGTGTAAACAAGCGAAATATCTTAATCTTCTAATTACATATTCCGAAGCTTTTGTTCCCATGATGAATGCTAATTCATTATGTATGACGCATTCAAACTGCGCATCGATTTTAGAAGATTAAACGACTGCCGCACTCGGTGGCGATTTTCCATAATATGAGGAATATACTCGCGGCCTTGGAAACAAGTCGCGAGGATTATTAGGAATCGCGAATTGCGGCGGAGTCAATGTAAATCATCGGACGAATAAAAAAAAAAAACGCATTCGAGACGAGATGCTTTGCGGGAAAATCTCCGCGAACGCGGAACTTTTCCAGAGCGACGGGATTAAGCTCGGCGTGCCTCGGTCCTTCCTTTACTCCGCCACGCAACTGGTAGCATTGGCAGCACTCCGTTACTCGACGTATAGTTTCTTAAGCTCGAGAAGAGAAGCACTACGAAGCTGAAGATGAAATTTCCACGGTGCGGTGAGAATATGTCTTTCCCCGCTAAAGACGCTGAAAAATGTAACGCGTTTCTCGGGGATTCGTGCGCCTCCAGCCACGCGTTGCATTTCTAGTAGGAATTGCATCACGAACCACTGTAAAAAAGCTATTTTAAATTTTAATGCAATAGATACGCAAAAACGTTCTCTATTCGCGATA